AGAACTGAGGCCAGGAGCAGAAGACACAGCCCTGGTCCCAACTATGCCAGTCTCACTAGGTGACCTTGGGCAAGTCTCTGTCATCATTGTCCTCAATTTCCCCATATGTGGAACTTGTGGTTAGCTCAGCAGATCTAATTTTTTTTCTGACGTCCTAAACTCTGTCCAGTCAGGTTGTGTCGGCTGAAGGCTCCTCGGAGGAAGTGAGGTAGCACGGGCAGAAAGGAAGAAGAGAGTGAAAGGGATGCAGGGAAACAGCCCCGAGGCAAGAAAATGTGGGGAATTGGAGAGTGGTGAGGGAAGATAAGGTGGGAATGGGGCCAGGCTACCAGGTAGGACTGGGGAAGTGGCAGCTCTGTCTCTGTGTGTCCCAGGAAAAACTCTCAGCACAATGACCCAGAGGGATGGAGGGGCCTCACAGAGGCCAGGGCACAGCAGGACACAGGCCAAGACTGGGAAGCAAAGGGCTTGGAGGTGGAGAACCACTCCCCTCTCCCATAGAGGCAGGGAGGGGATGGATCTCCTGGTCTCTTGTGGTTTGGGCCGGCTAGAGAAGGTGGAAGTCCATTTTGCTGGGACCAACGAGTCCTCCTTGCTGTAGAGGACCCCTTCTTCCCCTGCCCTGAAAGAGAGGAGGTTTCCGGGGCAGCCAGGCCTTGCCAAAAAAGGAAACCAAGAGAAGAGGAAGTTTCTAGCCCCAAAGCAGGGGAAGTGTGGTCAGTCTCCTGCGACACAGGCCCTATAGTGGCTGAAATGAGTGACATGGGGCCGGGGGAGGAGGACAGGATATCAGATGGGGCCCCAGCTATCACCACAAGGGCCACCCACTCCCACCACTGCCCCCTGCAGGCAACTGGACCCTACTCCCTGGGCTGAGCCTGGCCCTCCTCATAGAAGAGTGTCCAGCTCTCCCTGTCTCCCACCCCGGGGAATGACCTACACCCTCCTCGTCTGACCCCTCTTAAGAAGGTGAAAGTTCCTGGGAGGTCAGAGGAAGGTCATCTGCTCCCCCTCTTCCCTCCGGAGGGCCTGGCTGGTGCTGGGGGGAAACTCTGGTCTCCCAGGACCCAGCCCCAGCTTCCCATCAGCAAGCTGTGACTCTAGGGAGGACTTCCTGATAGCCATGGTCCTTCCTCCCCACACAGGGCTGGTTGTGGAAGTCAGGTGGCTGAGCTCACGTGTCACCTCCTGCAAGAAACCTTCCCAAAACCTGGAAGCCAAGCCTAGCCTGACTCAATATCTCCCACTCACTGCCTCTTCCTCTCCCTGGTCCTAGTTGTAAGTTTTAGAGTCAGAAATCTTGTCATGCCAGGTGCTCTCTCCTGTCCCTCCCACCCCCCAGCTGTCTCCTGCTCCTCCTGCCATCATGGCAGAACACCTCTTTCAGGAAGTCTTACCTAATGGGGGATACTGGATTATGTACTTCCTCAACCCCCACAGCTGCCCTCTGCCACATTTCATTGTAACTGCAAGTTGACCTCCTATTTCTCCACCTACACTGAAAAGTCTACAGACTTGTCTAGTTTCTCATCCTGGATCCCCCAGCACAGCCCCAAGACCATCACAGGTTGGCCCCAGCAAATGTCAAAAATGCTGAAATACTGTCTACTTTTCATGCCACAAACCAATATGCCACTTCCTCCAGCTGATCCTCAGAGATCATGAGAGAAAAAGAAAAGAACATGAAACAAGGATTTCCCCTGATTTCCCAGGTTTCAATTTCTCCTTACAGCTAAGATCTGAATGGGCCTACCACCAGAGAGGTAGGGGTCGCAGGAAATTAGTGCTCTGATAAGTATAACTCCTCCCTCCATTCACTTTGGACATTAAAGGAAACTGAAGCTCATAAGAAAAGCAAACCCTTACCTAGAGTTACACAGAAAATCAGGCCAGAGCTGGGATCTCTTCCCCTGACACCAGGGTCATCTTGAGCCCATGCCCTCACTCACTCCAGCCTGCTCTCAGAACCCTCACTGTTCAGGACAGAGGGCCACAGAACTTGGCAGGAAGCTCCTAGAGGCATCACCGAGCATCTCTCTCCCAGCTTTGGACCACCCACATCTCCTCCTGGGAATTGCCTCCTCTCTGTTCTGCAGGGGGTATATCCTGAAGGTGAGGAGCACATCTAAGTCCCCAAAGGGACAAGGATTTCCACTGAAAATGCTGATGCTTAGGGAGCCCCAGCTGTGACCTCATCCCCTAAAGGGGGTGACAACAACCCCTGCCCTGGGGAGCAGCTTCATAATGGCTCCCCAGCAGCCTCAAGTCAACAATAACATCCTGTTGTTTAATTGGACAAGGGAGAGGCAGAACCGGCTGGGCAGGTAGCTCTGTTTCTCTTTGGGGGCAGGTTGGCTCATCTCTGACCTTGGGGGTCAGGACCTTCCTGAGCTTCTCCATCTCCTCTAACTGGGGATGAAATGAGGAAGGGTGCAGAGCTTCCACAGGCAAGCTAATCTCCCGCACTCACCTATACCCACTCCTCTCCAGCCCTTGCTTGCAGGAAGGGCAGGTCCAAACAGTCATATCTCTGACTGGCCCATGCATCAGTGACAGTCCTCAGGGGACAATCTCAGAGCCCTTCCTGCTCTGGTGAGTTCTGAGGGTCAGAGACAGTGTGGTGCTCAAGAACACCTAGCAGGTTAGTGCTAGCACATCCCTCTCTGCCCAGAACTGCTGGACCAGGGCTCAATATTTTGAAGAGTTCTCAACCTCTGGCAAGTGTAGTTTGGGACCTCCCAGAACTTCCTAATCTAATCTTTCCTAGGATGTAGGGGTCCATGTAGCAAAAAAATAGATTACAAAGAAGAGCCGGAGCTCCATACCCAGTCCCACACCTGTCTTGGCTTAAAACTTAATGCCAACCTACTATACCTCATAGAGAAGTGGCTCCAGGACCACCATTATCCTACATCTGGTTGTTCCTGGAGGCTGCCCTTCACCTACCCCAAGTAAACAGGAACTTAGGCCTCTACTACAGCAAAGCCAGGGGGATCCTCCTCTCACCCCACTTCTGTGGTTGCCCTGCCCAGGCCCATTTCTGTCCATGTGTCACCCCACAGGAAATGGAAGGCAGCTGTCAGCCAGGCATACCATCACCAGCTGGTGGTCTTGAGGGACAGGCAAATGGTAGGGTCTGTCTGGCCAGTGGGGTGCCTGGCACTGATGAAGGAGACTACAGGCTGCCCTAGAACGAGACAAGTGAGGGGTTGGCAGATCCCAGCGGGGGACATTAGTGTATTACCAAGCAGAGGGCACAGCCAGAGTGGCTATTATAGTGAACTGCATGGAGGGGAAAGGTGCTTTGGGGAGCTTTGAAAAGTGGGCAAAAGAACTGAAAGCAGCTTCAAATAGCTCAGGGTGGAAAGATGAAATGCCTGAGATGGGGTGCTACATATTAAGTACTAAGAAATTGGTGTGCATTAAATATGTGGGGGGAAGGATCTTCAGAAGTCTTGGGGAGTCGAGGCAAGCAGAGCCAAATGCAAGGGGGTTGGCGGGGTGTGTGTGTGTGTGTGTGCTAGAACACTTAGACATGGCCGTTTATCCTCTTGAGAGGGCCCAAATGCTGTCCAGGACAGCCAAAGGGTTTGACCCAAAGCCAAGATGCTGGGAAGGCAGAGGAAGCCTGGGCTGGAGGTGTCTATCATGAATAAACACCAGAGGTCCACCCACTCTGCTACACTCCCACCAGAATATCTCGGGCTGGGTTACAGTTCTGGCCCCCTTAATCCCTCCTTTGTGTGGCCTAAATCCTTCTCCCCTCCCTAACCCAGTGCTAGCACTGGTCCTATGCCAGATCAGAGCCCTGTCTGCACTTTGTCCAGCGACCTTGGGCGAGTCACATTCTCTCTGCTGCAGCTGCAGTTCATGCCATTGGTTTTGTGTGGGGTTTTCTCCTCTCTGCTAAGAATACCTGCCCCAGATAATGTTCAGGCTCTGGCAATCCCTGCAAATCGCCTCAGTCATCAAAGGGCCCTGTCAGGGCCAGACCAGGCGGCTTCTCCAACCCCCACCCTGAGTCCACCTCCACCACAGGGGGTCAAAGAACCACCAAATTAGGGGACAGAACCCAGTTGTCCTGGGGTGAAAAGCATTTACATGCAATGCAGAGGAGGGGAGCTCAATCCCTCCTGGCATAAAACCTCAAACCCCACCTAACCGGCTTTCGGACTCATTGTTTAACTAAGGCACCCCTGAGAGAGACTCCTGTCCTTCAGACTCGTATATCCACCACAGCCTAAAAGCTACACCCCCGCCCCAGATCCGCTGCGTGGGGTCCCAACGGCCGCACCCCACCCTATGCTGTGCCCACAACGCTGGCACCTATTCCTGGTAACAACTGCCACGTGCGGACTGGGGAGGGAGGGGGGGGCGGATCGCCGGTGCCGGTGCCGGCATTGCAGAGGTAGCGCCCTAGTGCCCCAGCCTCCACAGCACCACACCAAGTCCCAGCACGCTACAGGGTGCCCACCCCTTAACCGGCCTGGGTCCTGGGTCCCGGGCGAGGGCAGGCAGCAGGGTCTTTGTTCCCACAGCCAGAGCGGAGCAGCGGCAGCAAGGAGTCCGCGTCCCCATCTCTGGCCCAGCCAGGGCTCCTTGCGACAGCGGAGCCCACAGCTCAGGAAGGACTTGGGGGAGGTCCCAGCCCAAGAGAGCCTTGCACAGAGGCCCTGTGCTGGAGGACAGAGAGCGCCTCTGGGCGGAGAGAGGGGCCCTGCTCCCTTCCCCGGTGCCCCAGCGCTGCGGCTCCCAGCTGCGGGAGGACTTGGAGCGACTTAGCCTGGGTTCCGGCCCCACCACCCACTTCCCCTCAGTGTTCCAGCGGCTCCAGTGTGCCAGCGCACACTCACACTCATCCAGACCCATCCTCTCCCGGAGAGTAGCACCCGGGACCCACAGAGCCTCGCACACGCACCCTCTCCAGTGCCGCACACTCTGCACCCACCCGAGAGGCATCATATCTCGGGTCCCCCCCACCCCTCCTGCGTGCCACCTACCTTTCCAGACAACGGAGATGCGGGGTCCACTCTTCGGGTGGCCTTGGGTGTCGGCGGCCGCCCAGAGCAGCAGCAGTAGCAACTGCAGCGGGAGTCCGGACCGAGCCTGTGGGCCGGGAATGCGGCAGCGCGGGACACGGAGAGAGGTGCATCTGGGCGGAGGCAGTGTCATCTCGTGGACTTGGCTGCGGAGACTGAGCCAGCACCCAAGCACAGACCGATACCAGCATGAAGAGGCGGAGTCAAATGCCTGACCCCACCCCACCCCTCCCCCGCCCCTCGCAGCCTTTCTTGCCTCCAGGCTACCCAAGTGAGGCACAGTGCCCACCGCCTGTGGAACCTTAGTCATTCCTTCCCGGGCAGTTCCACAGGAGAACCTGAGTGGACTGGGACAAGACAGACTTGGATCTTCTGCGATCTGAGGTAGTTTTGGTTCCCTCTTAGGGCCTCAGATCCACGCCCCTCCCCGCCCCCACACCTCTTCCCCTCCAACCCTCCCCCCCCCCCCCCAGCCAATGAAAGAGTTGGCCTAGAAGAGGGGGAGGACCTCTCTGAGGGTACAGACGAGTCTACCATCAGGCAACCTCCCTAACGGCCAGCTCAGTGTTTTGCACCCTGAAGACCGTGTTTCTCAGAGGATAGGCTGGCCTGAGTGGACATGGCTCCTTCTGAGCCTATAAGCACCTAAGGTAGGTGAGTGGGGAGGGGAGTGGGGGGGATGGGGGGAGGGTTGATGAGCTGTGGGGAGCACTCAGCAGCCCATCATTGCTCTGCTGTGAGGTGAAATTTTCATCTTGGCCTGGCTCCCTCTCCTCCTTTCCCTCCTCTCCCCATTCCCTAGCCAGCAGCCTTCTGGGATGCCTCCTCCCAGCCAGCTGGTGTGTGCTCAGAAAATCCAAACTCATTTCCATGTGTGTGCAGGGGGATATAATCAACAAGGCCCCTTACCCAAGCAGAGAGGGAACATCCTACATTCTTAGACTCATTGTGAGGAGGCAGAGGCAGACAAGCTTAGGGTTTCTCTGCTCCCCAGCTACATAGGACTGAGCTACTGAAGACAACCTGGTGACCCCCTGCAGGGTCTAGGCCCTGTCCCTCTGCAGTCACCAGGCAATTCTCCCATCAGTTCTGCCCAAGGAGGACCAACCCCTTTACCTTGGCTTGTGCCTGAAGGAGTTTAGATGGGAAATCCACTTATCCAGTGCTTAAGAGATGTCTCTCCCCAGGTGGACTGCACTGAGAGGACACAGGGTGAGGAGGAGATAGCAGAGATGCCTGTGAGCTTCCAGGACCCACACACCTCTCTGGACCTGATTCACACACTGCAGACACCAGCTAAAACAGGGAGCAAGAGATTCTCATCCCAACCTCAGCTTCAGCCCTCTGCTCTGATCTACAGCAAGGAAAGTATTGTTACCAGTAAGTTTTGCTTTACCATTCCAAATTTTGTTTCCAGCTATCACCTCCATCTTTCTCAGGAGCCCCAAGATAACCCAACAAGTGAAAAGGTTAAATCAAGATGTCTCCAGAGATAATGGTTCCTGGTAGACTGGGTAGGGTCGCACACCGCCCCATAGAGAGGATGGTTCAAGAGCCCCTCCCCAGGCCCGGAAGCCAGCAGCATGTCCTGGCCCAGGCTAGCCTTCAAGAATGACACTCTGTTTCCAGCCCAAGGCCTTATCTGCTGAGCTGTATGGCCCAGTGTCTGCCCTCTCTGCAAAAGTAAGCAAATTAAGAATTAATGATAACACTACTCATGTGCACAACTCACAACACACAACACAGTTCCACCTACCTTCTCCCTGCAATCCTATACTCTCCCCGCAGTGAGAGAGCATAATTCCATATTAGAGAAGGAAACTGAGGCACAGAGAGGGAAAGGGACCTGCTCAAGGTCAGCTAGTGGAACCAAGATGGAAACCTGGGTTTTCTGACTCCAATGGTAATAGCTAACACTGAGGTTGCTATGTTCTTTGTGTGTTTCTTAGCCTCATTTTACCTTATTTCATCTTCACAATCTTATGAGATGGGTGCTAGTTATTTGGCTCCTTTTGCCAGCAAGTAAACCAAGGAAAAGAGAGAGAATGTGATATCCTCAAAGTCACAGTTAGAGAAGGGCTGAGATTAATGCCTCAGGCAGTCTCTCTGGGGCTGACACTCTTCTACATCATAAAGCTCTTAATGCAATGCACCCTTTTGCTAATGCCTCTTGTGTTAGGCTGCATTCTGGATCTGAATGATCCTTAAAAAAGGTCCCAGGTTACCAGGTGCTAGGCAGGAGGGTCTAGGCTCAGCATTTCAAGCAACAAGGCAGCAGATGGAAACTGGGGCAGATACCAAGGGTTGTTGTTTTGTTTTTGTTTTTTTGTGGGGGTTTTTTTGTTTGTTTTTTCCAGGCTGGGCAAGGGGTGGGGGGTGGGGGTAGTGCTAAAGATCATCCCACCTCATATCTCAGGGTGGGCCTCTGGCTGGGCTCCTCCATGGCCAGCTCAGCACCTGCTTTACCACCACTGGGTATCCCTGAGCCAGCCAATCTAGGGGCAAAGGGCCAGGGCCAGATGGCAAACCACTCCTACTTGGCTACAGACAGCCAGGGGAGGTGAGAGCCAGGCCAACAGAAGGTGAGGGCAACTAGACTATGGACACTGAGGAGAGCGGATACCCCTCCAGGGGAGGGGAAAGCACAGAACTAGAGTTTGTGTGTGGCCTCCCTGCCTGAGGCAGCATAAGGAAATAAAATAAGAATGGAACAGGTGGTGACAGAAGCCTTAAACAAGAACAGGGCACAACTCAAACTCCCAGACAATGATGGGAAATGGATCAGCAAAGGAATCAACAGATGTGGATGCTGACAGGTGTGAGGCAGAGGCCATTCCTGTCCTCCTCTTCCCCATGACTCCAAATATGAGGGATTGCAGAAAGGAAACCAAGAAGAAGAAAAGATGTGGGGTTCCTATCTAGGAAAAAAATTCAAACTGTGACAGGGTCTTCCCGGAATGGCAGCTAAGACACAGTCAAATCCAAAAAGGCTCATTGGGGAATCAGGGAAATAGACATACAGAGGAGAGGATCCAAGATGGTGGTATAGGTAAGCACCTAAATTGCTGCCTCGCACAACAATTTCAAAATTACCACTAAAAGACAAAACATCTATCACCCAGAACCATGGGAAAGCTGGCTAAGTTGAAGTTCTACAACTAGAAGGAAAGAGAAAAGAGCATCGAGATGTGCACAAATGCTGAAAAGCTGAGGTCCGTAGGCACATGATCAGGGCTTGCGGCGGGCATTGTTTTGTTCAACCAAAGGGAGACAAGCTCCCGATTACTCTGAAATCCAATTTCTGGGGAGACACAGGGGACCCAAACTATGGGTCCTATAGGGAGAAGCTGGACTGTCTGCCATCAGGTCGGAAAATGATGGTGGCTTGCTTGCAGAGGTGTACGCAGAAATAATTGTTTACTGTTCTGGGGTGCAAGATGTGGAGACGTGATCAGAGACACAGAGACAGCTGACTGGCAGCCATCGCTGTTTGCCATGCCCTAGCCTAGTGACTCCCTAAGACTCCACCCTGCACAATCTACATACCCACCCAAGCTCCAAGCAGTGGCTTTTGCATAAGAATGGCTTGCCCTATTATTTGCATAACCAAATAAACTCAGCTCCTGAGAATCAGCTCCAAAACCTCCAAACCCCAAGCAAAGAGGAGAAAACTGTAGTTCTTGCTATAGCTCCTGCTAGGTAGCCTCAGATAGTAGCTGACCTGCAACCCATTGGAGATCCAGAAGCCAGTGTACCTAGTGGTCAGTGTAAGACACCAGATTTCAACTCCTCACATTCATAAGTGACACATTCAAGGGGCAGACTCAGTGTGCACAAAGCCCCACTGAAACAAGTCCTGCCCCATAAGTGTGTCTCCAGCGCAGCAGTTCTTCCATTATAGACACAGTGAGTTCTCACAGCCAATTGGCCTGGAGGTCAATTCCTCCAAGTGTACCAACAGCAAGCAAAGCTTAACTACACCAAGACTTTGCATTCAGCCCACAAAGGGGTGTACCAAGAGCATCCACCCCAGATGATTGGGGAGGCTGAGCTACTGGCCCCTATAGGTCACCTACCACACAAAGCCACTCCATCAACACAGGGAAGCAGGCAAAATGTGGAGTCAAAGAAACATGTCACGAATGAAAGAAACGGAGGAAAGCAAGCTACTGGACAACATAAGAGTTCAAAACCACATTTATAAGGTTACTCAAGAATCTTCTAAAAACTGTTGAGAAACTTGATGAGACCTTCAAGGAACTTAGCGAGACCTTCAAGGACCTTAATGAGAATGCAAAAAAAAAAAAAAAAAAAGAAAAAAAAAGAAAAAAAAAGGAAAAGGACCAGCCAGAAATTAAGCATACACTGTCTGAAATAAAGAATATACAGAAACTCAACTATAGATCAACATGCTCCAAGAATCAAACCAAAAATCTGGAATATAAGAAAGCAAAAATCACCCAACCAGAGAGGCAAAAAGAAAGAAGAATCCAAAAGTGTGAGGACAGTGTAAGGAACCTCCGGGACGGCTTAACGCATACCAACATCCGGATTTTTGGGGTGCCAGAAGAAAAGAGGGAACAGAATATTGAAGGCTAAATGGAAGAAATAATGACAGAAAACTTTCCCTACCTGGTGAAAGAAATAGACCTACAACTTCAAGAAGCACACAGGACCCCAAACAGGAGGAATCCAACGAGGAACACACCAAAACACATCATAATTAAAGTGCCAAGGACAAAAGACAAAGAGAAAATCTTACAAGCAGCAAGAGAAAAACAACTAGTTACCTTCCAGGGAGTACCCATACGACTGTCAGCTGATTTCTCAATAGAAACTATGCAGGCCAGAAGGGAGTTGCAAGAAATATTCAAAGTGATGGACAGTAAGAACCTACAACCAAGATTACTCTATCCAGCAAAGCTATCATTCAGAATTGAAGGTCAGATAAAGAGCTTCGTAGACAAGAAAAAGCTAAAGGAGTTCACCACCACCAAACCAGGATTACATGAAACGCTGAAGGATATGCTTTAAGAAAGTAGGAAGAGGAAAAGGTAAAGATAAAAATTATGAACAACAAAATGACATCAAATACATACCTACCAAGTGAATCTGAAAATTGAGTTAATGAAA